CCACCACCATCACAACATCAGAGAGCTAGAGAGTACACAAATTAAGAGGACTGCGACAAGCACTTGAAGCTAATTAAGCCACAAGCAGCCAGTCTCCGTCCGTGAGGGAGGGCAGGTTCCTGCCGTGACAAACGAGCGAGCGACCGAGAGTGTCCTGTTGCGAGGATCTTCAGGCAGAGAGGACATACGGTGAGCTGGAGAGCGCGCGTTTTCTACCAAACTCCCGCGAGATTCAACGACAGGACACTGTGGTCAATGGGCAAGACAAGAGTTCAGGTATGAAAACTCTGACCTCATACATCAATGTGGGAATGCCATGTTAGAAAAGGTAAAAGGTTTTTTTCTGCTTTCTCCCTTTTCATCTCAAAAATGTAAATTTTCTGGAAAATGTTTAAAGATACTGTGATCAGGTTTGCAGGATTGTCTGTTTTTACACCCATCAATAATAAAGTTAAATTCATTTGTGAGTGGGGCTTAAATTCTGTCTTTTATGGCCAAACCGGGATATAGTATCCCAACGAAAAGACTTTAAATTAGATAAAAATTCTCCCCTCTCGGGAATCGAATTCGGGTTTGCTGTGTGAGAGGGCGAAGCGCTTAACCGTTACTCTACAAAGCAAAAAAATTAGCCTAAAACTGGGGGGGGGGGAGCCAATACATATCACTGTGGTAAAAGAGTACACTCGGTAAGAAGAATTTTAGCGGAGAAACCTTTTTTGTTTTAGCGTTTAATTTTTACCTTGTTATGGGTCTTTTTTGTCTACTTTTATTCTTCTCCAGAAAAATTACAATTTTGAGATATGATAGTGTAGTCCTTTACCCCCGATACACAAGGTTAGCTGGGCTAGAAGAGACCTTTTCCCTGTACTAACATGGCGTTTCCCGAACTGCAAGTCTTGAGCGCCAGTGTAAAAATGAAACTTTGTTGTACATGTATAGATTTAACCACACCCATTCCAACAATGTAAGATTATTTCCAAGGTAGGACCATCAAACTTAATGTTCATTGCTGATAGGACTGAGCCAAGTGGGTGGAGAGCCTTGAAACTGCCACAAACGTAACATGACATATGGACAAAATACACCAAAGGAAATTAGTATGCCTAACTGTTGTTGTTAGAAAAGAAACATGTATATGTCGATAATATACACATGTATTTATTAAAGTAGAGCTGGATGCATTTGTGTGCTTGTACGTGTGTATACATATAT